AAGGTGGGGAATGGACCTCCCTGTGCATGTATGACCTGACCTTAACAAGGTGGGGAATGGACCTCCCTGTGCATGTATGACCTGACCTTAACAAGGTGGGGAATGGACCTCCCTGTGCATGTATGACCCGACCTTAACAAGGTGGGGGACGGACCTCCCTGTGAACGCTATGGCATCTGAATAACCACATTTCTGTGTACACAAATGTATGCACACATGAATACACATGACATAAAAATAACAAGTCAATTTTAAAAAAGAAATGATTGCCAGGCAGTGGAGGTGCATACATGTAATCCCAGCACTCGGGAGGCAGAGGCTGGCAATCTCTGAGTTTGAAGCCAGTCTGGTCTACATGGTAAGTTCTAGGACAGCCAAGGATCCACAGAGAAACAGTCTTGAGAGATTAAAAAAAAAGAAGAAAAGAAGAAGAAAGAAGAAAATATGTCTAAACTGCCTTTGTGACAACAAGGGTGGACATTTAATTCAGAAGATGAAGAAGCAGGTGAGTTGGGGTAACTGACCTAATGTGCACAGGAGTTGGGGTCAACCCCGGCACCATAAAACAAGCAAAATAAGAAAAAGCAAGAACAGAACATTTTATAGTCCTGTTTTTAGAAGTTACCAAGGCAGCCCAGATTTAATTATGAGATCATAGACGTCTTCAGGAAAAGGGAGTCCTGTCTGATGCACAGCTTCCTGAGCGCATGCAGACGGCAGGGAGGAGGCAGCAGAGTCAGCAACTCCAGGAATCTGCTCCACAAGGTGGCAGCTCAGGCCTCCAGCCACCGTCCTTCCTGCCTACTACCACCCTTCCGCCTGCCCTCAGGCCAGGCTGGCACTTGCCTTCTGCTTTTATGATTCTGAGGCCAAACAGACCTAAAAGGATGCCAACATCTATGACCAGTTTTAAGTATCACAAAGGAGGAAGAAAAAGGACTTGGCAAGCAAAGACCTAGGTGATAAAACTGCAGGCAGGTGTGCAGTCTGTAACAAGCCATGTGGCTATTTCCAAGCCTGCTTTGCTCCTCAACACAAGAAAGGACCGAACACACAAGCGGCAAACCTGGGGCCCAACAGGCTGCTTTCAAATCCTGGCCCCACCACTCACTAGCTGAAGCTTCCTTAAGTCGCTTGACCTCAATTCCACCTCGGCAAAGCATGTGACCCTGCCAAGGGCCTCATAAGCCCCTGGAAGCACAGGAACGTCGTGAGGATACAAAGCATCCACAGATCCTGCCGTCATCATCACTGGTACCCACCGTGGGCTTTCCCTACTGTACTAACCCCATATCTATGTCTTCCCTCACGAGACTTTAAGTTCTTTGAAAGGAGAGGCTCACCCTCACTCACTTTCATTACCCCCTCCCTCCGTTCCCATCATGAAACAGCCAAAGGAAAATCTGGGCTGGGATGAGGCTTGGTTGGCAGAGTGCTTGCACACCGCAAGTGTGGCAGCGCAAGCTGTGGTCCCACATCCTCAGCTGCCCTCTAAGGACGTGGCTTGGGGAACTCTTGTGTCTGGGCTCCTCTACATTTCCCTCCCCGGCGTTTTAATATAGCTTCTCATCTTCTTCCTTCTGCTGTAGCTAAGTAAAAAACAAAATGACTAAAGGGGTGCCCGCTGGGGAGGAGCCAGGTTTCCCCACATCCAAGGATGCTCTACGGACAGCAGATGATCAAGGGCACTGAATGGCGGCTCTGAGCATGGACATCCACTCCTTCCCGACTGTGGCAAGCGTACACCACCTGACTGCTGGGACCATACCTTTAACCTTCAACCCACGCAGCCTTCGATGGTGTTACCTCAGCCTATGGGTAAAATGACCCCAACTTTGCTGACATCCTGGAGAAGCGAGTGTGTTCACTTACTAGATATGGAAGTCACGGCTTTCTGCAGAACCTCGGCCTGGATGCTGAGCCAGCCTCTGGGCTAAGGCCTTGAGCTGCCTCCTGCATTCCAGAAACTCCTGGGCGTAGTAGAAGTCAGTGGAGGCCGAGAGGGGCAGCCCATCCCTCACCCGTACTATGCTGGCAAAAACGATCATAGGCATGGTCCGCCAGAGAAGTCATGAGGACACCTGAGGGAAGCAAGGTCGCCTGTCAGTGAGGCAGGTGATGGCGCCAGGGACCCCAACACTGGGACAGCAAATTATCTCCCCACGCCATTCCCGGTTCTCCCCACTTTGCTTTCTTCCCTCCTCCTCCTCTCTATTGAAGCCTTCTCTTCCCAGAACTAAGCCAACTGGGATGAAGCACAGTGGGATGGAGGAAGAGGCGGGGCCACCAGGACTGGGGCAACAGCAGCAACAGCAGGAAGTAGGCTGCAGAGTTCAAGGTTTCAAGGTCCTAAAGGGACAGAAGTGCCTGACCCAAGCGGCACTTGTCAGGCTACCCAGGGAAGGAGGTCCTGAGCAGTGCATCTACCACACAAGAAAATGGGGGGACGTGGGGGCGTCTGGGCACGGCACTGGCGGTGACAGGGAGGGGCAGAAGCAGCTGGGAGCTGAGAGCACAGCCTCCAGGACTTCTGCTGTGTGATACAGAGCCGGTCTTCAAGGCGATGAGTCCCTGCAGGTGGCTGAAGGGAATCGGGGAGCGAACTGCATCATGGGAAGATATTAAATATTTGGTCATGCTATGTGAAGAACACATTGAGAAACAAAAGGAAATAGATCTGGGCCTTGTGGTGCCTTTGGCAAATGAGGAAAAGGTACCTCTGAGGCTGGAAGGAAGCCGGTATTGGCACAGCCACACAGCACAGCCACACAGCCCAGCAGGGGCTGGTCTACTGGTTGACCCCACTGGACATCTGCACGGGACACAGTCAGCACACCTGTGTAGGATTCAGCCCTGCAACCAGGACTGACTGACAAGGTGGCCAAAACAGCTTCAGCTGGTCTTTCCGTGCTACATGTCCCTCTCTGTCCCCTGCCTGTCGGGCCCTCCAAGTAGTGGGCATTGGGGGGTATGTAGGTGGTACAGCCCCAGGGAGACAGCCTTACTTCAACACTGCTCCGGGCTATTCACCTGTGCCTTTCTCAGAGCCAGGTAAGCGCTCGCTCTCGCTCTCGCTCTCTCTCTCTCTCTCTCTCTCTCTCTCCCCCCCAAGGGAGATCTCAACCCCATTATATCCCCAAGCCTTCCAGGCTTGCCAGGCTGGACTGACTTCCGCCCTTTCTCTAGCACATCCCCTATCCCCTACGGTAGGTTGTTAAAAACAAAAGCTGTACCTCAAATTTCCTGCAACCACCAGGGGGCACTGTGGGCTTTGTAGCCTTACAAGGTCGATGTTGATCCAGGGAAGAGCTTGAGTGAGCATGGAGGTCAACACTGAGTGCAGGAGGTCAACAGTACTGCCTACTACTTTTGCATTTGCAAGACTGACTTCTAAAAACATTTTGGCAAAGTCCTAACTGAGACAGAGAAGAACAAAAGATCAGTTTGAGAGCAAAACAGGCCTGGGGTTCAAAACACTAACTCCAAACAAGGGCCTCCTATGGTCAGTATGACCTTTTCTGACATGAAGAAAAAAATGAAATGAAATGAAAAAAAGACAATGAATCAAAAATATGCCAGAAGAGTTAAGACAAGCCCCAAGCACCACAAGGTAAAACATCTACCAGCTGGGCAGTGGTGGCACATACCTTTAATCCCAGCACTCGGGAGGCAGAAGCAGGTGGATCTCTGTGAGTTTAAGGCTACAGAGCGAGTTCCAGAGAAACTGTCTTGAAAAATAAGAAAAATACAAAAAACAAAAACTACAATATGTGAATTGTCTGCTAAGGCTGCAAGGAGGAAACAGGTGTCATTTCCAGGGGACAGTAATGCTGAGAACCAGTTTGGCCGCTCCCAGAAGGACTCAGAAGTCACCAGAAGACATTTACTGACCAAACCTGCTTTTCCTCCATAAGGTAAATAAAAGTTCTAACTGACTTCAGCTCTGTCCAGTTCTATGAGAGCTGTCAGAAACTGAACCTTTAAATGCTTCAAAATATCTGATGCCTGAACAAAGGTGGCATTAGGAATATGTCACCTTCTGCTGCTTGTCTGAGGTGACAGTCGCCTGGGGGGAGGGGCTGAGGGACTTAACATCCAGCTAAGGAAGAATTTAAAATATGGAGACAGCGCTTTCCACACTGTTTTCCTTTAGTAACACGCACCTTGGGGTGGGAAGGCGTAGTTCAGTGGTAGAACATTGGTCTCCTTGTAAGCACAAAGCCCCTGGCTGCAAACACTTCAAAAGACGGAAAGAGTCCTGTAATACAGGGAGGGCTGACCTCTGCAGCATTCACGTTTGTGAACTTGGGGCCATGAGCTATCACGAGACACTCTATACCTGAATAAGAGGGCATGCCGGGAGTTGTCCTTGCACTCCGGTGGCTGAAGGAGGAGGAGCCTAAGTTCAAACCCTGCGTGGGCTGCAAAGTGAGACCCTGCCTCCCAAACGCAGAATAGAAAAGAGGAGATCAAGGGGAGACGTGGCTGGACTGCTCGGGAAGTACCGAGTAGGGTTTTCCCAGGCCCTACTAAGTGGAAATGAAACCCCGGGCCTCCGCTGTAGAACAGTCATAAAGAGGTTTTAAAAAGGAGGCAAGAAAGCCAAGGCAGGGTCATGGGACCCTCATCTCAGACCTGGTATCGGAAGAACCAGCAACTCCGAGCAGCCAATGAGGAGGAAGCACAGGTAACACAATCCCATCACCACTACAGCAAAACCTGCTTCCTTTACTTAATTAGAATCAGCCTCGAAAGCCAGGAAAGCCTCGCACTAAAAACTAGTCTGGAGGCCGGAGAGATGTCTTGTGCTTAGAGCACTGACTGCTCCAACCGAGGACCCAGGTTCAATCCCCAGAGCCACAGGAAAGTTTCTACAATTAACCTGAAATAATAGTGTGCTTTTATCAGGAGACTGTGACAATTTCTCTCTCCCCTCTCTCTGTCTAAATACACACGTGGACACATACACTGGTAAATGCCTGTTCAGAGCTCAACTAAAGGAAAAAAGCCATAAAAGATAAACACAGAAAATGGATAGATTAAAAACCATATGGGCATTGATAGCTTACACTTTTAATTTTATCACTCAGGGGCAAGGGTATCTCCATGAGTTCAAGGCCATCCTGGTCTACAAAGCAAGTTTCAAGATATCCATGGATAGATATATAGTGAGACACTACCTCAAAAAAATTAAATTAAAAATAAATTTTAAAAAATCCAGCAGGCCAAGCAATGGTGGCACATGCCTTTAATCCCAGCAGAGGCAGGTGGATCTCTGTGAGTTCAAGGCCAGCATGGTCTACAAGAGCTAGTTTCAGGATAGGATCCAAAGCTACAGAGAAACCCTGACTCAAGAAACCAAACAAACAAACAAAAAAGTCCAGGCAGAAGGAAGAATAGAATAGAATAGGAACCAATGTAATTAAGTTAGAAAAAGAAATGACAAATTACTCTTGTTAAGAATAAAATATGGGAGCCGGGCGGTGGTGGCGCACGCCTTTAATCCCAGCACTTGGGAGGCAGAGACAGGTGGATCTCTGTGAGTTCAAGTCCAGCCTGGTCTACAAGAGCTAGTTCCAGGACAGCTAGGGCTGTTACACAGAGAAACCCTGTCTTGAAAAACCAAAACCAAAACCAAAAAAAAAAAAAAAGAATAAAATATGGATACCACTACAATGCCACTCCTGGAACTTAACCCAGAGGAGAAGGAGAGCTAAACAGGACTGGGTACAGCCTTGTTTGCACTAACCGAGAATTAGAATTGAACACAGCCTACAGACGGTAACAGGTAAACATGCCACACGGCACTCACACCACAACACACTGCTAGACAAAAAAGGGAGCAATAAATCAGGTGTGGTGGCCCATACCTTTAATCCCAACACCCAGGAGGCAGAGGTGGGTGGATCTCTAGTTCCAGGACAGCCAGGGCTACACAGAGAAACCAGAGAAACCCTGTTTGTGCGGGAGGGGGGATGGGGTGGGAGGGAGAGTTGGTATCAAAAGGTCACATACTGGGCTGGAGTTCAGTGGAATAGCTGAACAGCGTGGCTGAGGCCTTAAATTTGAGCTTCACAACTGCCAACATCACCATAAAGAAAGAAAAAAGGGGCTACGTACTGTGTGAATACCTCTGCATAACGTGCTCAGGGCCAGCTTGAGCTACACAGTGCGACCTTGTCTCAAAAATAAAAGAGCTAGGGATGCAGGTCAGAATTAGAGCTTTTGCCTAGCATGCACATGGCCTCGGTTCAATCCCTACTGCCTCTAAATAAATAAATAATAAATCGATTAATTAATTAGATGAACCAGGTGAAGGGTCCATGGTATTTCTCTGTGTTATCCTTGCAACTTCCTGTGACTGTAAGAAAAAAATACTGAAAGAAAAAAAGGAATTAACATCAGGTTTTCATGGAGGACTTCTTTCTTACAAGAGTCATATTTAAATATGGCCGCCAACACGAGAGCCCCCCTGCTCCCTGTGAGAGCCGGAGAAGCCTCTCCCCCACCGGCTCCACATTCGCAGGGCATTTTTAAATTGGAGATGTGATGAAGATGATCAGGGCTCACCAGGCAAAGCTGCTCCGAGCCAGCTAGCGTTCAATTTAAAACAGGGAGTAAACCTGGGCTAGATGACGCTGGAGGCTGAGGCGGGAGGACCACAAGTTGGGGTCAATCCCTGGGGTCAATCCCTGGGACCTATGTCATAGAGGGTGTGACCTGACTCCTGCAAAGTATGCTGGTTTCCACAAATGTGTCATGAAACATGCACACACATACACACACGCGTGTGCACGCACACATGTATACACACACATACACACACATGCACTGCACACACATGTACATACACACACACAAAAGTATTTTATCTGGGCAGTGGTACATGGACAATAGTGAGTTCCAGGATAGCCAGGGCTACACAGAGCAACCTTCTTTCAAAAAAACTAATCAATAAATAAATATTTTTAAAAGAACGGCTGAGAAGATGAAGAACTGAGTTGTCTATTTAAGTTCACGGAAATGAGAATGTAGGTTTGCAGCGTCTCTCCACACCTCTGGACCACATTTGAGCACTCGCGCACAATAATCCTCTTGGAGGGAGAACAAGGAAGGCTTTTACAAACAACATTCTGTGTGAGCAGAAGCATGGGTGATGAGCAAACGGTCCATGCTCATATGTTTTCTAGAACACATTTTTTTTTTCAAGACAGGGTTTCTCTGTGTAGCCCTGGCTGTCCTGGAACTCACTCTATAGACCAGGCTGACCTCGAACTCACAGAGATCCACCTGCCTCAGCCTCCAGAATGCTGGGATTAAAGGCGTGCGCCACAACCGCCCAGTTTATATAGCACATCTTAATCCACTTTCCCAAAACTCTCTTTACCATTGTTGGCAACTGCCAACCATCAGGTTCTCCCTGCTCTACCCACAAACTCTGCCTACACAGGAAGCCATCTTCACTGTCACTTCCTCTCCGGTTTACTCTTTACCGTCCCCCAAATCCCCCTAACATGCTGGCATGTGGGGGGGGGGTGCAAAATACAAACTTCAAGTAGCAAAACAAGCCAAATTTAGCACGCAAACACTTAGTCAATCCTAAGCACCCATCATAGGCACACTTCTGAGTGAGGCATGCTCCCGTGATGGATTCACACTCAGCCACAGGATCTGAGACCTGATTACCTAACGTGGGATCCTCTAGGCTCCACGTTGCTTGCGGATGGGGTAAGAGGGACAAAGAGGTCAACTAAGTCATCTTTAAGGGAACTGAAAATATGTTTGTTTTGGGTTTTGGAGACAGGGTTTCTCTATGCAACCCTGGCTGTCGTGGAACTCGCTCTGTAGACCAGGCTGGTCTCGAACTCACAATGATCCGCCTGCCTCTGCTTCCAGAATGCTAGGATTAAAGGTGTGCGCCACCACCGCCCGGCTTGATCTGAAATTCTTTATGGGACCTCAAGATGTCCTCTCTGTTGCCCGTAAAACATTAAGTAGCATTTACATTAAGTGGTACAACCGTCTTCCTGAGGAAGCTGCGGTGCAGCGGAACATGCTTATCAGAGTCAGACCACTTAAAGTCGTCTTCATCTGCATTTCCCTAGCGTTCTTCACCTGGAGAAACTTTCTGCAGACGTTTACAGGCATTAGCCCTACCCACTGGGTCTGTTTTGCCTGCTGCTTTTGTTTTCCTGATCTTATTACCAATTACACCAACCGAGTTGGGCATGGGAGTCACACACCTGTGACCCCAGAACTTGGGAGCTGGAGGCAGGCGGATCCCAAGCTCAAGGCCAAACTCGGGTTACAGGGAACCCTGTCTCACAAAACCACAAACTGGACCAACTCCTTTCATCAGTGGCAACTCTCTTCCTTCCGCGGCTTTGGCTTTGTGCAAGCTTGACGCCCGCCCAGCTCTGTAGGTTCTTTGTCCTGGGGATAGTACCCAAGTCCAGGAAAGTTAGTGCAGGGGTGACCAGGCCTCGAAGAAACCAAGTCGTGCAAGACCAGCAGGCTAAGGAAACTTTGCTATGGAAAGCCAGAGCCAGGGCTAGAACACAGCTTACCAAAGGAGAACCGCCGCCCCGCCCCTCCCGAGACACGCCCCGGCCCCGCCCCGGGCATACAGCGGGCTGCGCATCCCGGCAGGTACGCGCGGTGCAGGGGCCCGGCCTCCCCGGATCCCATGGCCCCGAGCTGCAGCCTGGTGGCCTGAGCCCCGGCCCCGCCTCTCCACGCCCTCTTGTCCCGCCAGCACCACCGATCCCCGCGGCCGACCTCCGCC